CTAGAAGAAGTGGAGAAACTGGCAAAGGAAATTTGTTTTGTTTGAGGTTTTTTTTGGTAGCAGACTATGTTGACTGTTCCTTAGCAGAAAGGCCTGACTTTGCTTACAATATTTCTGGCAGTACAGAACATAAGCATTGTGGGTCTACCATGGGGTAGCCACACTGTATAGTTGCTGAACAGAGGTCTTTTCTTCTTTGTCCCTAATTGTCATTAGCAACTTGCCCAGAGTATTCATATCATTCTGTGCTGATGGAGGGATGTATAAATCGAGATGTGAAGATGTAGAGAGTTTTCTTTATCTTGATGCTTTTGCAAAATGCTCTTGTTCTTTAAGTAATGTTTTTGGTATATAGGGGAAAAATACTATTTATATTTCAGGTAGTATACTGCTCAAAGTACGTGTTACTTTCCTTGATATCTCAGCAAAACTTTGCTGCCATATCATGTGTAAAAACTGCTTGAAAGGATTCCATCTGGTCACACCATACTGGCTACAGGCTTTCAAATCTCAGCCTCTACATGGTGATTTAGACTTTGGTCCTTTCCTCTGGAACTTTTCTTCTGTAAATATGGCTAATACTTCTCTGTTAGGACTGCAGAGATTTGAATCTGAACTTCCTATGCTGATGTTATGACAACTAGATCAAAAGGTGTTGATACTGTTTCCAGAAGCACTGATTACCTTGAGAGACACTTTATTTTGATGTGGTGTTTAGGAAAGCATTGAAACTTTTTTTTGCTTATGAAGAGCTGAAAAAACAAAATGTTACTGGTAATATAAAACACAAAATTCCTGATGATGCAGTAAAGAAAGCAGATAGAGGAAGGGGTGAAATCACCGTTGGAATATCACACAATGTTCTAATACCTGGATTACTTCAGTGACATGACAAGTTAGTGGCTGTGGAATACTGCTATGACAGTCAAGTTCATCAAGATCACTCAAGGACCAGATTCTGTCTTATTTTCACCAATTAAAGTACTCTTAAGTACGGGCAGTTTTGCTGTTCCTTCATTTCTGAATTGCTTCCATACCTTTTCCTATCTGGCAGCAAAAGGCAATTTGTATCCATCCCGTATTAGGAGGGGAGTATCATAATCACCTCAAACAGAAAATTCCATAGCCTTTGTGTGGTTAGTAAGCTTGGAGAGCAGTCAAAAAAATTGCATGCATGTAAGATGTTAGGTGGTGGTGAGTTTTATAAAAAAGGCTCCTATCTATCCTTTTTATGTATACCAGCTTGCAAGAACAATGATTTACTCCTAAGCTGAAATCAATTGTCTGAGTAAGTTCTTGATTAATAGTCTTGCTATCCTGGCTAATATATTATACTACTCCTAAGAGTTGGGAGGAAGAATGGATGATTCTCTATCCCTTTATAAGAATTAAAGTAAAAATGGCTTTCAAAATCAGAATATATATACACACACAAAAAAAATTGCTTAACTCTTCTCTGTTAAAAGCAGTATTGAGTTTCAAGACAGTGAAATACAAACTGATGGCAGAGACATGTAGCTGGCTAATTCTTCAGTTGACATGTTAATTGTAACTAGAAATTTCTTTTGTTTAAAACTGTTCTGCTGTAATCAAAGTACAACAGACTTTAACTTCAGTTTAAGATAACATTAATGTTTTGTGTTTGATGCAATCTCTTTTTAAAATCTCTGGAAGTGGATGCCAAAAGCATTTGCTGCTGTATTTTAAATTGGTAATTGTAGAGAAGGTAATATAGCCAAAGCACTTAAGTTTTGGTCTCTTGGCTGCAAACCTGAAAAGGATTTCCTTTGATTGAGGCAAGTAACCAATGGCTGAAGCGGTTCATGTTTTATTCCAAGGAATCCTGAGTTCTAAGAACAGATCATGTCTTATCTGGGTAATTTATCTCCTGTTGCTGTAGGTAACTGGGTGCCATTTAATGGGTTAGTAGGCTTTTTTTAGGTTATGACTGCAAAGATACTGGAACTACAGTATAATAGCAGCATTTTACATGTGCTTCAAACAAGGAGTGGGAATTATAAATTCTGTTAGCAAATTTGCTATAATTCATGCCCAGTTTAAAATCAAGCAGTAAAATCCGTAATATGCTGAATTTTCTGAACTGCTGTTAATAGCTAGTCATTGCACAATGACTAGCAATGTTCCCTGAAAGTGTGTAGGTTATGAGTTGTTTTTGTTTTTTTTTTTTTTTTTAAAGAAAATGCTAAGAAGGTACGTAGGCAGGCAGAGATATCTTATGCTTCTGCCGTGTTGTCTTTTGCTGTGCTACCTGACTGGGGTTTTGCCACTGGTAGCAATAATAATCGCTCAAGCTCCCATCTAAGTCCTCAAATACCTGAACACTCAAATCTGGTTTGCGAACTTGGCAAGTTTATTTTTAACTAACGAATTATCAGGCATTTATAAACTTTTCTACATGTCTGTGGAAGCTACTGTCTTTATGAGTAGAAATCCAAGTGAAAGGTAACTGCTCGCTTGGATTATCACCGTGTTTGAAGTACCAAAGATTCAGACTATTACATCTTTGGTAAGATTAGTGATGTAATTAAGATGTAGAAGGTTATAAACTGCTTTCAGTTTTAGAATTTGCACTTTCACTGCCCTTTCATAGAATAGGGGCTATTGCGAAGCATTAATCAAGAGTTGGGCACGATAGTTTCCACACTAGTTTATGATAACCCTATCACCATCCTTACTGCAGCAGAGGACTGGTGAGGAAGAACTAGAACTGCATGCAATATTTAAAGTTCAGATGTACTACAGGTGTGGTTTTTTTCTTGATTTGTTCATTACAGAATTATTTTTCTGGTTTTACAATCTTTCTCTTGAACTGTTACTGTGTAACAAGGTGTTAGTTTTCTGAAGGTATTTAGGATAGGCCTAAAAAAGAGTTCTTTCAAGTGTAGTGAGAGATGTAGACAGCATATGGGGTTTTTTTCCTTATTACTTTGCTTTCATAGGCACTGAGTTTCAGTTGTGTTAATTTCCAGTTCCTAGGTCTAACAAGATTCTTCTACGTTGTTTGATAGGTCTAAATAGCAAATTGCTTTTCTTAAGAAGTAACTGTTTCAGTTACTTTATGCATACAATAAATACATCTAGCACTTCTTAAACCTTTTATTCAGATCATAAGAAACGTCACAGGTAGGTGAGGGAAGAATCCAAAAG